GTAGGCCTAGGAAAATAAGTATCTTAGAAAACTCTTAAATAACTGCGCAATCATCTTGTAGAGAAAAATAGTTAAAAATGAACTCTTTTTGAATACTTGAGAGACCTGCACAGATTTTCTTTCATATGTCAACACTACAAAGAGCAGAGATCATTTTCCTTATATATTGAATTATTATTTGGTTACTAGAAAAGGGCTAACCAAAAGAGATTACCCCTGTCTTCCTTTCCTTTTATTGTTGTTATGTGCTGATGAGTCACTTGTGACTCATTGTGATTCTATGTACAATAGCTCTGAATCCTGTTGTGTTCTGAGCCAATTTCACATGCTGACACTCTTACCTCAATCACCGCAGTTACCGTGTCAGTCCATCTTATCTGGGGCCTTCCTCTCCTATGCTGTTCCTCCACTTTTCCAAGCATGATATCCTTTTCCAGGGACTGGTCCCTCCTTTCCACATGCCTAAAGTATATGAGTTGGAGCTTCAAATTCCTTGTCTCCAAGGAGCAGCTTGATTTCACCCTCTCCATAACAGGCCTGTTTGTTCTCTTGGCAGTTCATGGTATGTTAAATACTCTTCTCTAGCACTACAACTCAAAGGCCTTGATTCTTCTTGTGTCATCCTTAGTCATTATCCATCTCTCTGATGCATACCACGTAATTGCAAAGACCATGGCTTGGATCAGGTGTACCTTGGTCTCTAGACTGACATTGTTGCTCTTCAGTACTTTGGAGAGGTCCCTGACAGCAGACTCTGTCAATGCAATTTGTCCTTTGATCTTTTGCCTGCTGGTACCAAGAGTGTTGATGGTGGAGCCAATGAAACTGAAGCCATTAACAGTCTCAGTCTCTTTTCTGTCATGATGCTGTCAATTGGCCCAGTGGGGAGAATCTTTGTTTTCTTGATGTTGAGCTTCAAGCCATATTGAAGGCTATAGCCCATGACATTTCTGCAGCAAATACCTCAGGTCCTCCTCAGTTTCAGCAAGCAAGGATGTGCCATCTGCATATCACAGGTTGTTGATGAATCTTCTTCCAATCCTGTTACCACATTCCTCCTCATAATGTCCAGTCTCCTGAATGATGTTGTTCTGCATATAGATTGAAAACCTATGTAGATGTACACCTTTCCTGATCTTGAACTGTGCAGTATTTTCTTGCTCTGTTCTGATGACTGCTTCTTGCTGTTGAGTGAAACCATGTGAATAGAAGAAGAAACTGTTAGAAATGTCAATCAATAGGGGCCCAGTACAGAGTCTCCTAGATCCTTTGTTGGCTGTGCCAAGCATTTTAAACTGCTATGTTTCCTAAAGTATACCTGATATTTCTAGAAGTATAAGAAAATGTCTATACTGGAAGATTCTTTGCCACCACTCCACAATAATCATGTAGGAAAAAACCCAACACCGTATTAACTTTAAACAGTAGGATTTTTTAGTTTCTTTGATCATTGTTGTTAGAGTACTTTCCGAAGAAGCCATTCATATAAAAGCATTCTTTCTCTTGAATTACCTACTTAAATAAATGGTACCTTCTTCCCTTGAGCTCTTCAAGGTGGAAATGTGAGAGTCCTTCTGATTCCTCTTCTTAACTCTCTTGAGTACTCTCCTCCCCACACACAGTCTGCTTTCATGTACTCGAGCTTATGGACAGGCTTCCACCACTTTTAACTTTTGAGTCCCTCTCATCTTTCTTGTATTCCTTAGTGGCCTCCTGACTGGTCTCCCTGACTTCAGACTCATGTCATTGACAGTCATCCTCCTTCCTGGGACATGATAATAGCTTTGAGAAACCCAAATCCTGAGAGTCACTCTTAGGATTTATGCTCACAAAACCTGAGTTACTGTGATCATAGGAATATCCGAGAGTCAGTTTTCTTATCTGTCAAATGGGGGATATATTAATGTCTGTCTTCTGTAGTTCTATAGATCAGATTCAAGCATCATTCCAAAGTTTAGCCAAGACTCTGCAGTGTGCTCAGTAATATATGTAGTAAATAACTGAATATTGATTCCTATCCCACTCCTAACCCCACAAAACATAGGCTTTCCTTGAATGTGAAAGAAATAAGAGCCTTGTGCAGACCTGCCTTTGGCTCTTTCCATTCCTTGTTTCATGCTACCATGAGAGCTGAGATACAGTTAGAGCTAATGCAGGGTTTAGAAAATAATCCTTTAATTAAATATCTAGTAGGCAGGTCAAAACATTTTACAGTTAATAGAAATGAAAGTTTATGTAACGTTCAGAATTTTTGAAAACCCCAATATGGAATTCAAATGGTGTAGTTTAATTTGAAATGCATTTCAAAATGTGTTTTCATATCTTTACTGAAACATAATCTTTTAATTAAACATTTGCTGTCCTAGACTCCAGATATTATTGTGTCTAGATGTTTGCAACTCTCCTTTTATTAACAGCATGTGGTTTCAGTGCCTGATGTTGTTTGGTATAAGACTTGCTTGAGGAGAGAAAGTTGCTGGGGAAATTAATTTCCTTTTGCTGTATTCTTTTAGGTTTCAGAATGCAGTTGGCCCCTTAGGCAGGCACCCAGTTTGCACAACCTCTTTGCTGTATGTCGGAATATGTACAACTGGCTACTACAGAATCCCAAAAATGTCTGTGTTGTGCACTGCTTGGTGAGTAACCTTTTTGTTGCGGGTGGTGGTGGTTTGGTAAGAGAAGATACAGCTGGACCCATACAGAATGGTAAACAGGTGACATTTGGGTTCAGGAAGCCTTTACTGAGCCCCTTAGGAGGCACGTGATTTGAAAGGCATAAAATCAAGGAAGGAAATTGTTATTCTTGCCTTTAGCTTTTAGTCCAAGTGGAAAAGTTAAATATGTACATACATAATACAGATAATGCCAAAAGTCTGTGACATGTATTTTTAAAAAATCTTATTCCTGTCAAATTGAAGGCAACTTTTAGCTAACCTTCTCGAGTGTTTTAAGAGACTATAAATCATACAAGAGGAGCTTGGCTGCCCATCTTTTTCCCTCAGAGTGGTTGGTGGATTTGAACCACCAGAGAAGTGCCACCTTTGGGTTAACAACAAAGCTCCCTGCAAACTATTGTTGTTGTTGATTGTCTTCGAGTCAAGCACAATTCATAGTGACCCTATGAACAAAAGGCTTGAAGCCCCTCTACAACTATCAACATTTATCAAAGTTCATAGAGTTTCCGGAGTCATGTTGTTTATGAAGTGGATGCCACTCCTACTTCCAGTATCACATATATATCACCTATGAACTATATTCAGAACATGTTACTAAAAAAAAAAACCTTGTCAAAGCTGTCAAGTTGGAACAGATCCATAGGTGACATTCCACTGGGTTTCCAGAAGCTATAAATTACACCGGAGGAGATTGCCCATCTTACTCCCTTGAAGCCGGTCATGGGTTCAGATCACCTACCATTGGATTGGCAGTTCTATTCCTTACCTACTTCACTGCAAGAGGTCCAGAATGTGTTAGGAGTACTTAGTATAAAAACTGTAGAAACAAGTATTATGACTGGGTCCTGCAAGAGACCCTCAACTAGTACACAGAGAAAATAATGCCATGGAAATACATGTGAATAGAATTGATGTAAAACACTGGTTAAAAAACCACACAATCACACACAGAAAAACCAGCAACAACAAAAACAACCAAACCTGTTTTGTGTTTGAACAAAGATAGAAGGACACGCAGGCCCTTCCAAGTAGTTGAATGGATTAAGGGTATTCTAGAATAACTCCTAGGGTAACTAATGATTTTTCTAAAAAGCTGACTTCCTAAAATTCATTTCCTAACTCTTTCTCTGGAAGACTCTTAACTGTCCTGTGAAACCCACCTTTCAGATGAAAAACAACTAAGGATTTAAGTAGATGGAAAGATTAATATGAGTGTATGGTTTGAATTAGCATGCTTTTGAACTAGTCTGGATCAAGGTTATGTTAATAAAAGCATAATATCCAGACCAAAGGAGGTGATACTTCCTCTGTACTTAAGTAAGAAGATGTCTGGTATATTACACTTCACATCTGATGCCACATTTGTATCAGAAGAGCTGACGTATAGTGACTAATCATGTGCTTACAACTGGAGTTGGTTCAGAAGACGGGTACTAAAGGGTCTCTTAATGTGGACTCTTAAGTGAGAGAAAACTTGAAGAGTTTGGGTGTTTTAACTTGAAAAGAGAATTATTAGTGGAAAGAAACTTCAGATATGTGAAGAGTTGTCACAAGAAGAAAGGAGTAAGCTTAATATTTTTTCTGAAATACGGAAAATAGAAGATAATTGAGTGTAAGCTACTGGAGAACCAATTTCATCTCCCCATACTCAGTATAAGGAAGACTTTTGTAAACTGAAATGAGCAACATCAGTTAGGAGTAATCTCCTTATCAAGGAAAGTACTCTAGAGGAGAATGTGTAACCATTTGTCAGGAATGTTAATGGATGTGTTTCTATAGTGAATGAAGTTTTAATTGTGAAGTTTATTTTTAGTAAGTCTTGGAATGTACTTTCTCTTTGTTGTTATGTACCATTGAGTCAGAACTAACTCATATCTGACCCTTAAGTGGGTTTTCAGAGGCAGTGAATTGCATGGAAGTTGATTGTCCATCTTTCTCTTGTGAGCCAGCTGGTGGATTTGAACCATGTGTTGTAGCTCCTTAAGACTGGTATATTGTAAAAGCAGCATTTCAAAACCTAGAAACTTTTTACATCTAGTCCCAAAGCCAAAAAACCTCAACTATTACTTCTGATGATCCAAGTCTAAAGTTACTTTGTAAATTAGTTTATATTTAAAGGATCACCTTTTTATCACTGGTTATCTTAGGCTAATAAGAAATCAGTTTTACGCTAAGCATAAGTTTTCTTGCCTTCATTTTTATTTAAGTATTTGTAATAAATTAATTTTTGAGTGAATCGGAAGACATACTGTGTTAATGGAATTTCTACAGTCTCCCTATTTCCCCTACCTTTATCCCAAGTGTAGCCATTCCCAGTGGAAAGTGGCTGATTAGACCACACGTAACGAGTTTGTGTGTTTTCTTTGCAGGATGGACGGGCGGCATCGTCAATTCTGGTTGGTGCTATGTTCATTTTCTGTAATCTCTACTCTGCTCCTGGCCCAGCTGTTCGATTGCTCTATGCAAAGCGACCAGGAATTGGACTTTCGCCATCCCACAGGAGGTAGAGTCCTCTAGATGCAGAGTTAGACCCAGATGTCATCTGCTTGGTGTTATGTCCTATTAGAAATTCAGCTCATAGGTGCATTTATAACGTTTTGTTACCTGGTATCATATAGAAGTATGGAAAAACTGGAATCCAATTAAAATATTTGATTTTCATATTGTTATAAAGTCAAGTTTGAGAATTTGCTATTTTAAAATTAGAACAAGCAAGCACACAGAAAGCCCAGCCACTGTTCACTTGATTGTAACTTAAGGAGACCCTCCATGGGATTTCTGAGGCTGTACATCTATATGGGAGGAGACTGACCATTTCTCTTTCTCGGAGCAGCTGGTCTGTTTGGACTGCTATCCTTAAGGTTAACAGCCTGGTATGTTATAATGTCTGACACCAGGACAGGAATTAAAAGACTTAGGTAGGTTGTCACTTTACCTAGGTCTAAAAGTAGCTAACAGGCAGAGCTAGATTATGATCTCAGATCACAGGCCCTAAGATCAGTCGCCTTCTCTTTCACTATAAAGGCTTTTATAGAAATACAAGCAGTAGCAGGCTGTACATATTTACATAGAAACAAGGAAATAAATTTCAAAAGATGTCTAAAATAGGATTTAAAAAGACAAACCTAAAAAAAAAAAAAAAAGACAAACCTCATTTAGAGAACTGGTTTATTTTCATCCCTTTCGTAGCAGTTTCTTCTCATATTTAAATGACATTTCTTTATTTTCTTTACTAAAAGTACTTCTCATGAGAAAATTCTAAAAATGTACTCAGAGCCAGCCTTTGGCTGATATATTTAATAAAATAAAGATATATATATTTCCTAAGTTTTTTCATTTGATAAATACCTAGTATCGATTCTGTGGGAAAGTAAAACAGTGTCATCAGCTAAAAGCTTACCTCAGTTACTGACTGCATTACTCTTTGCTAGCTAATATTTAAGATATTAATAGAGTAAATAATAATTTGAATGAGTAAACTTTAGACAAAGTATTGGCTATTTGGTTTTCCTGGTGTGATAGACTCTGTTATTATAGAAACCTTCTATTTCAGGTATCTGGGCTATATGTGTGACCTACTAGCGGACAAACCCTACCGCCCTCATTTCAAGCCTCTCACAATTAAGTCCATCACTGTCAGTCCAATCCCTTTTTTTAACAAACAGAGAAATGGATGTCGCCCTTACTGTGATGTGTTGATTGGAGAAACCAAAATATATACAACCTGTACAGATTTTGAACGAATGAAGTGAGTAAAGATATTTGTCTTCATTTCTTGTGAATTGCCTAGTTCTTACTTAGTTGGATCATAGCTTTCCTGTAAAGGAGTGCATATTGTAAAAATTGCTTATATAGAAAAAAAATTCAATGTCAGTGGTAATCCTACAAATGTACAGAAGCCAAAGGATACATGGCTACTGTTCAGGATGTGAAGAGCTTGAAGAGGGTATATGTTTCAAGAAGGATTACCCTAGTTTATAATGAAGGCTGAGACAGTAGTGGGGGACAGAGGACCTGGGCTTGTTTATATGAGACATCTGTCATGGGATTTGGTGAGGATTCAGAACAACTAGATACAGAATTCAGATTAAAAGAGTAGATACTCTTTTAAGCTGGTATAAGGTGTGTGGAGAGAAGGGATTTGGAGAGGTGGTAGTGTGAAATTAGTTTGGAATAACTTTAATTTGGGGATTTCTATCCAGCCTCCTCATAGAGAATGACATAGACATTTCTGTCCTTGATTGATTTTTTTTGTTGTTGTTTCTCCTATATCTGTTTCTACCATCAACTCAAAAGTGAGAAAAGACAACTACTCTAGGGATCGATGTACTTGAGACAAACAAGAGGGTATTAAGTGTAGGGATGGACAGTTGAATTATCTGCAGGCCCAGATATGATGAAGAGAGGGGGCATTGTATTACCCCAGGGCCATCCTGTTTTTCAATGAGATTGCACTGAGTTTGGACTGTCTAAGAAATGGTTCCTGGGTTCAGGCCTTAACACATTATCCCTTGGTCAGAACCACAGAGAGTGAGTGTACCAAATTAGACCTTCCTTAAATAAAGAAGTTTCCCCCCCCCCTTCTCTTTAAAGAGAGTATCGTGTCCAAGATGGAAAAATCTTCATTCCTTTAAACATCACTGTGCAAGGAGATGTGATTGTTTCCATGTACCACTTGAGGTCAACCATTGGGAGCCGACTACAGGCTAAGGTATGATTAAAGGGGGAATCAGGAGATGTGCTCATCCGAGACCTTGGTGGCAGTATTTCTGTCTTTTCTCCAAACCACTGTCAGCTTAAGTGGCTTGTGATCTTAGAACTAGAAAGACCCTATATAGTTGTTTGTGTCCCTTCCCCTTATTTTGAAAGTGAGATTAATCTTCTCTGAGATGTAGAGAAGTTGTGATGTATTTGATGTGATGACTCTGCCAGAGGCGACGGTCCCAGAATTTTCAGCAATAATTTATTTATGCTTTTTCTCTTAATACTCCATCTGGATCAGTATAGGGGGATAGATTTTGGTTGGTTATATGAGCCTACCTAATTGAATTTAGGGGGTGGGGTCACCACAAATTTTAATGAGATAAAATTCATAACAGAAAACGCACCCTTTTAAAGTGTGCAAGTCAGTGATTTTCCAGTGTATTCACAGTGTCCTGCAGCCATCAGCACTATCTAATTCCAGAACATTTTTATCACCTCAAAAAAAGAAACCCTGCACCAGTTAGCCATCATTTTCCATCCATCTTATCCCCCTCTCTTTGCAGCCACTACTCTTCTTTCTGTTCTATGGATTTTCCTATTCTACATTTCATACAAATCTTATCATGCAATATGTGCTATTTTGTGACTGCTTTCTTTCCATTAGCATAATGTTTTCAAGATTCATCCATGGTATTGCATTCATGGACACTTAATTTTGTTTTAATGTAACATTATAATTCACTGAACCTATAGACCCCACTTCACTTACCTATTCATCAGTTGGTGGACATAAGGGTTATTTCTACTTTTGACAGTTGTGAATAATATTACAAGTAAATTTTTTTTGAATTCATTACACATTTATTATGAGCATCCGCTCTGTCCACCATTGGCTAAGTGTTTAAAATGGACAAAAATAAGAAACTGTTGTGTCTTGAAGAAACTATGAAAAGAGCAGGAGATTTCAGATGTGTACAAATATCCATAATGCCTTGTTAGAAGTAGCTGTGAAGTGCTATGATCAGAAAAGTTTTCTTTAGCCTATGATGACCCAGAAAGGTTTATATAGAAAGGATAAGATCTTTCCAAATTGATAGTTGCTTTCACTAGTTTGGAACAGACTATCTATCCTACGTAGAAGAAATGGCATGAATCAAAGGATGGCAGCATGCAAAGCATGCCCTTTACCAGGTGAGGAAATGGCTTCTAAGGCAGAGTTTATGGAGAGCAGGGGCTAATAATGAAGCTGGGCTGGTACCGGAACAGGCTGTCCCTTAATAGTCACAGTAAACAAAGTTCAGGTGCAGAAACAGGTGAGGGTGCATGGCTGTCCAAAACAGAATCTTGTAATCAGATCACCGTCGCTGATCATTTGTGGTGTACATTTCCCATGTATCTTTAGGTGACCAACACACAGATATTCCAGCTTCAGTTCCACACAGGATTCATACCATTGGACACAACGGTTTTGAAGTTCACAAAGTAAGTAGTACTTTGGCTGAGAGTCCTTTTCAGTGAGTACTGATGTAAAATGCTGGTAGCCATAAATCCCAGAAGTACTTAGTTCTGAGCTGCATGTAATCTTGTGTGCTGGGACACTGAGCGTGGATCACAGCTTTGAAACTGGTTACATTGTAAAACCTTTCCTTAAAATAGAGTTTGCCTTGAAGCTCAAATGGATCAAAGAATCTCAAATAGAAAGGTCTAAAATAGCATGTGAGGAAACAAAGTATTAGTTTGTGTATCTCCTGCTTTTCATGCGAGATAGCAGTCAATATAGTATGACCAATATTCCATGAGAATGCATTGTTTAGTAGTGACAGAGAGTCCTGGAGGGTACTTCTGCACAAGGCATTGATCCACTGGGAGCTCAGTGGTGACATAGGAGATGCAATATTGGAGTAGGGGTAGACATTAAAAGGCTTGGAAGTGGCGAACGGTTCGAATCCACCAGATGCTCTGCCGGGGAAGGAGGGACAGTCTCCTCCAGTACGAGTCAGATCTGATTTGATGGTACACTCACACAAAAATAATAAAGTAAAAAAAAAAAAAAAGGCTTGGAAGTGGCAACTCTGGACCTGTTACACCATTTTAATGATTATCACCTAAAAATCAACTAAAAGCAGTAGCTATAACTATATCTGTGCATATTGATCACATGTATCCACTCTGCCTTCCAGAAGGTAGGCATCATCTAGATGTTTTGAGATGGTTTTCTCTTCATGAGGAAACTGAAGCTAAAAATATAATAAAAATACTTATTTGTTTAGTTATCAAGTCTTTCCTAAAAATGGATCTCACCGTCAGTGCCTGTGCTGAGCCTCATGCTGGTTCCATTGCTTTTCACGGGTCTTCTTCTTTTAAATCTCTGTTTAGACCTGAGTTGGATGCATGTGATGTACCAGAAAAATATCCTCAGCTATTTCAGGTGACACTGGATGTAGAACTGCAGCCCCACGACAAAGTGGTAGACCTAACGCCACCTTGGGAGCATTACTGCACGAAAGATGTTAATCCCAGCATCCTCTTCTCTTCTCATCAGGAGCATCAGGACACCCTGGCCTTAGGAGGTAAGTGTCACCTGGTGTTTCTGCTTTTCAGGGTGAGACTTCGATGTTGGCTTCTTTCTTGTGTTTCATTGATGCTGCATAACCTTTGTCTTGTAGGACAGGCGCCAGTTGATATGCCTGCAGACAACCCCAGGCATGCTGGGCAAAGTGGCTTCTTCTCTTCACTCTGCTGGCAAGGTATGCCTTCAAGCTACCTATTTCTTTTGCAAAGCAGCCTAAGCAAATCAGCACTTCTAAACCATCCGGTGTCCTCCTTATTTCACACTGTTCTGCTGAATCCTTTTTAAAATCAAGTGACTTCCCACTTTATTATTTTTTTTCCATTTTATTATTTTTTTTAAAAATCTTAATGTATTTGACTGTGACACTCAAGGAACATATGCAATTAAAACTTGAAATTATTGTGTTACACAAAGGGACTGGTTATCTATAAGAGGTGAGGGAAAGCTTCACGTAATCTCTATGTGATTTCTTTCCCTCAATTTTTCATGAGGAAGTAAGTATTCACTTTACATATTTCATCCACTTAGTCAAAATATACATACGAATCCTATGGCATATCAAAAAAGATAGTGAATTTTTCAGATTATTACTGATGTTACAATATATATAACATGACAGTCACCAGTTTAGGATTTCTGCATGTACAATTCAATGCACAGTTACATTAGCCATAATGTGTAACCATTGCTAGGATTGGTTACTGAATTTTCCAACATCAAAAACAATTTCTCAGTGCTTCCTAAACAATAACTTCATTCCCCCCTTACCTTTAGTAATTACTAATAAACACTGATTTCTAGGCATTTTGATTATTCTAGATATCACATATAAATGAGACATATATTTGTCATTCTGTGATCGACTTACTTCCCTCAGTGTAATCTTTGCCTGGCCTGTCCATGTTGTAAGATGTATCAGCAGTTGGTTTCTCTTTATGACTGAATTATATGCCATTGTATGAATATACTACATGTTTGGTTTATCTGCCCATCTGTTTATGGACATCTAGGTTGTTTCCACCTCTTGACTTTGTACATGGCACTGTAATAATTACAGGTGTAGATTGTCTCATTTTTTACTTCACAGAAGCTCTTAGACTGATATAAAATATGCCAGCTTAATATTTAGACTGATATAAAATGCCACCTTAATATTTAGACTGATACAAAATGCCACTTTAACGTGAATTGTACTTCTCTTTGCTATTTGTTGGATCACATATTTCCAACAAAAATACATAATCTCTTTGTTCAAAACTCTGAGAGCCATATGTGTTTAGGTATACACTTTATTTTTCAACACTATTTTGATATGATATATAATTTCTATAGTACTTCAATGCCTAGTGATATCTAAGGAAACACCTTATAATCAAGTATATTTTTAGGCCTATAGTGAAAAGTATACATAATAATTTCAGGGGAGGTAAATGAGGACATCAATACTGTCACATCAGTTTTGGTAAGATTTTTCTGCCATAAGTGTGTGCCAGGATAACCTTTCCCTGGTCATCATCTTTTGCATTTAGAAATTGGGACTATGGAACTGAGTAGCTTGTCTATTATTTGAAATGAGATTTATCCAACATTAAAACAAAAAGCCTGAAATTCCATGGAGGGCCTACAAAGATGTTCTCCAGCCTCCACCTTCCTTCCCCAGAGGAGGCCTCCTTCCTGCTGCCCGTTTTATGTTGACTGTATTTCCTTGCAGGTTGGGGAAGCACCTTCCTAAGCTAAGCTTCTCTTTCTGCTCACTTACTAGATGTGTAGATCACTTCTGCTCTGGACTGTGAGAGAATGACCTGCTTTTGTAAAGAAAAGACATGTTATCAACCACCTCCTAGAAAGATGACAACATAATGCTTCAATGAAAGTTCATCCTCTTAAAGCACCTACCTTATTGTCTGTTTAAATGCTATATACAATTTAAGGCGCTCTGGTGATATAGTGTGTTCCATGTTGTGTTTCAAACCGTTCCTTGGGAGAAACAAGTGCAGTCTCCTTCCCTAAAGGTTTCAAGCCTTGGAAACCCAGTGGAGGGTTGCTCCAGGTTGGACCCACTGGGAAGGTTTTGTTTTTTATTATCTTGTCTTAAAAGTGCAGCAAGAATGTTTCTTAACAGCAAGTTTGAGGAGATTTCATTTCACATACTCGGAGCATGTTGTCTGGAGGGACCAGTCACTAGGGAATGACATCATGCTTTGTAAAATAAAATGTTATGGAAGAAAAAGAATAGGGAAAACCATTGCAAACCCTCAACAAGATAGCTTGACTCTGTGGCTCCAACAGTGGACTTATGCACAACAGTAATTGTGAGGATAGTTCAGGGCCAAGCAGTATGTAGGGTCAGCATCAACTCAGAAGTCCTGGTGACCACAACAGTTTACCGCTTGTCTAGACACTTATTATCATCTCATGTAATTCTCACAACTGGGTACCACAGTGAGTTAGGTAGTAATTTCTATCACTAATTTGTTGAGAATGAAATCAAGGTATAAGTGAAGAAATGTATCCAGTGCACAGACTCATAAATAGTGGAGCTGGAATTCAGACCCAGTTCCTCTGGCCCAGAGCTCCTGTTCTTCCCCACTATGCTCTACCATCTCTCAGGTGTTCACCATAACTGATTGTTATTTAAAAGTTCAGTGAAAAAAAAAAAGTTCAGTGAAATTTGAAATCTATCAGTTCCTCCAATGGCAAAAATCTGAAGACATTATTTGCTTAAAGATGAATCCTCTTTTACTCAAAAACAAACAAAAATCAGTCAATGCTAGGGCTCAGTAACTAACAATTTCTTGCCCTATTGGCCTTCTTTAGATCAGAAATCAGAGAAGACATTCAGCGAGGAGGACCATGCTGCCCTAGTGAATCAGGAAAGTGAGCAGTCAGATGATGAACTTCTCACCCTTTCTAGTCCACATGGCAACGCCAACGGAGACAGACATCATGGAGCCAAGAAGCCCAGCAAAAAACAGCAGGAGCCAGCTGCTCCCCCACCTCCTGAGGACGTGGACCTTCTGGGCCTAGAAGGGTCTGCAGTGAGTAAGGCCTTCTCTCCGCCAGCGGCCCCTCCCAGCAATTCTGAACTGCTGAGTGACCTGTTTGGGGCTGGAGGCATGGCTGGCCCTGCCCAGGCTGCACAGCCAGGGGTGGACGACATGTTTCACCCCAGCGGACCTACATCCAGTCAGTCCACACCACGCCGCTCTGCCCCCTCCGCCTCCGCCTCACCAACCCTCAGAGTGGGAGAAGGTACGTTTGTTTTTTCTTCAGTGTAACACTGTGTCTCTTAGTTCAGAATCTTAACTTTGGGGTCAAACAGATAGAACGGACCTTGACTATGCTAGATTTTACGGATTTCTATAGAAAGTTCTTGAAAAGTCTAAATCTTCGTTTTAATGGCAAACCCAACAGGAACTAGAAAGACTGTCCCTTTTGGAAGGACAAGGCAAACGTGTAGATTTATGACATCAATTACTGAACTACTATAGTTACCTCTGCTTGGAAATGTAAAAAAATGAACCATTTTTAATAATAACACCTAATATTTATGGAGTACTTAATACTTGTCAAATATGGAATTTAATGATAAATATGGATTCAGTTCTTTCTCAACAAATAGATGCTATTATTAATCCCATTTAAGGGTTGAGGGAAATGGAGCCTTAGAATTAAATTAGTGTTTTAAATTTATACAGCTAGTTTCTTTATTAATTCTGCAGTAACAAATACCACAAGTGTGTATCTTTAAAGAGCAACGGTTTAATTTCTTACATTTACAAAAGTTAAAAGCCCAAATCATGATCTTGGTTGTGTTAATTTCTTTTGTGAGCCTTCATTCTCATATGTAGTTTTTTTTAATGTTATTTTTATTATTTTGTGTGTGTGTACCGTCAAATCAGATCTGACTGGTACAGGAGGAGATTGTCCCTCCTTCTCCAGCAGAGCATCTGGTGGATTTGAACCGTGTACTTCTAGGATTGCAGTGCAGCTTCTTGCCACTAGGCCACCAGAGCTCGCCTCACTTGTAGTTTTTGCTGATAATTTTATTGGATTTTCCCTCTCCCCCATCCCCGCCTTCTAGGGGAGCTTTCCTTTGCATATTCCCTCATGTGTGTGTATTTTTTGTGTCTTTTCTGCTCTTTTTATAATTTAGATATGACTAGATTTAGATCCTGTCCTACTTGGTATGAACTAAATTAGTAAACCGGAGAAAATCCTATGCCTCACTGGGGAAGTTAGGATGCCAATACATCTTCTGGGGGAGATATAATTCAATTCATAATTCATCAGGCCAGGGTTTATTTCTAGGCCATTTGACTAGAGTCTTCCTGGAATCTAAATCTTTTAATACATCTTGATTAGGTACAGAAATATTTGGTTACTTCAAGATACCTTTTAAGAGACTGGGACTGATGGCAGCCCAGCTGAGTAGAGCAGAATTTGAGCCTCATGTTGCTCTGAGAGTTTAGTTTCACTGCCCATTGTCACAGGCTCAGCCCTTTCTTTGAGTAGTCTTACACAAATTTTTAACATTTACAGACAGTGTAGCTGGGTTAAGCAGAGACTCTTTATTACTTCTGTAGAATCAACTCATACTGGTTGTCCATATTGCGAGCACTGTCAACGAAGATGGCATCTTTTAGGAAGAAATAAAATAAATATCTCAGCTCTCCAAGCCTGTAGTATCCTCTGAAGTATGAGTCCAGGTTCCCTCAATTCCAAGCTAAGGCCACTAACATACCAAAATTAATAAGGGTCCTCAAGATCCAGGATAGCATATTACTCTATGATTATATAAAGGCCACACATATAGTCTTGTTCCCTATCAGGGCAAGAAATAGCCTTAAACATCAGTTAATTTTATACCTTGATTATAGACAATGTAATGAGGCTTGAGTTTATTGCTTGATTATTAGAATATAAAGCTAATTAAGGCAGACCCCAGAAGTACATTCGTGCACTAAGTCTAGCTCTAAAAGCCTGAAATTAAACCCCAGAGCCAA